TCGTTGCTGATCGAACACGTAGATGGACATAGTCAGCTTTTAAACTCGCATCTCCATGAATTTGCTTTCACCTGTCCACCTTCACCCACATGCCCGCCCCATCAAGATTGTTCTTGCCGACCCCATCCAACGAAACGAAACTAAAACCCATGCTTCACCAGCCGTGCTCGCAAATGCTTCCCATAAATCTTATGAGAACTCATTCGACCAGCGTCAACTTGTCCATTGTTTCATCGAAGCCTTCAAGAACCTTGGATGCAGAGTTCGGTTCGCAACACCAGTGCCATCTGTGGCTGCTCAAGCGATTCGGCGGGCATGGGCGCATGGTGCTTTCAGGTGTTACTCGATGTCTGCTACCAGGCAAGTCTGCAACACCACACGCCCTGTGCACGGACTGAGGAAGGCTGCAAGGTCGTAAATTCCAATAAAGCAATGGGATCTTCCAGGTTAACTCATCACTCGCGTCTTGCATACACAGGGCTGCGGCTGCGGCAGCCAGACCTGTCAGACTCCAGGCGCGAGGGCTGCATTTAGAGTTGGATAGTGAGTGCAGAGCCAGCAAAAGCCAGCAAACCGAGAACAGGATGAAACCACCAATCTCGAACATCACACATCCTTCTCCCTGCCGCCTAGGGCTGACATGCTGAACATCCGAGGAGAGAAGTCCCCCATGGTGTCGAGGACACGGTCTGCGATGACGGAAAAGGCCCCCTTCTCCCAATACCTGTCCGGATCTTGGCATGGGGGTGCTCACGACTGCTCCTTAATCGTGGTGCTCCGTACAATCATGCCTTCAAGACTCAAGAGCTTCGTGCAAAAGGTGGCAAACGTAAATACCACAAAATTCCAAAGAAGCTCGCACCCACGGATGCTACAGCAAAACCGTCATGTCCCAGCTGCTCGAGCTTGCCGTAGGCGTAGCAGTAGCTAGCCACCTCGCAGCAGGCGGGTGACCAGGACTCTTGTTGAGCCTCTGGAAGAGACGGCAAATTATTTGACGGTAAAGTAGGTTGCGGTCACTGGGCGTGATAAACTGAAAAACACGACCTGAGAACAGGAGACGACGGCTCGGATGCGCGGGCTTTCAGGACGTGTACTGTAGCCTTGCTGTTGGGACGTCGGCTTTCTTGGGGTGCTGATGCTCTGACGCTGATGCGATGGCTCGAGCTGCGAGCCTCCAAGGGTTCGGCGTCCTCCAAGTTGGAGTCGATAATGACTCGACCTGAGGAGATCTCCTCCGAGACCTCTCCCTCTCCTTCGTCTGAGTCTCAAGAAGCTTCTGCCATCTTCTGCCATGCTGCCTACGGCCTCCATCACTCGCTTGTCGCGGATGCCCAAGCGCCTCGATTTCTGGGCGTCCCTGGGACCATACCAAATGCACTCTGCGCCAAGTCACATGCAGCTGTAGGTGATCATCATGCAAGTCTGACTGTCGAAGTCTGGTCGACCTTGGAGTTCTGTGATCAGCGCCTTGATGAAGCTGGGCCTGGCCGAACTGAAGAACGGCACGTGACACTTGACAAACCCCCTCCACTCCGAGCCTGGGCCGAACTCCGGAATAGCCCAAGGCCCACATGATCATGCCGATCTGCTGCGGGGAATACCTGGGAGCACGGCTGCAATGTCAAGCCACAAGAGATCTCCAGAGATCTCCAGTCTGGACTTAGTGACTAAGCCTATCCTAAAATCTCTGCCATGGCTCTGATCCATCCGGGACTGAGCATCTTCAGCCACGGCTTTCGTAAGCTCGCTGTCGTAAATATTTAGCCTGGCCTCAGAACTCCAACATTGATGCGGTCAACACACGTCTGCCACTCTTCTTATCCAAGTAGCACAAGCCCAAAGGATAGAGCAGAGCACGCGAGGCTCCTGCATCGACAAGCAACTGAACTGGGAAATGTTCTCAGGGTCCGAGAACTCGCAGATCGCTCCACTTTTGCGACGGTCTCGATCTCCAGGGCCCGCTTCTTCCTGCGAAGGCCGAGAGTCGACGGGTCTCATCGAAAAAAGAATTGCTCGCCAAGGCGCGTGGCGGAGAAAAGCCGAATAAAGTTGGGATCCGACTGGATTTGCCTGTTTTCCGTCGCGAGATGTGTTGAGCACATGCACTTTCGGGCATGCGTCTTTGATTCTGCGGGCCTTGTCGCCAACTCGTCATCCCGAGAGTTCAACCCGAACTTATGAAGTGCGGATGCGCAGTTGTAGATGTCGAACTTCCTGAGAGAAGGGGCGCTGCATGGCGCTGCAAGCTGCTCACCGAAATCGAAGAGGACGGGAGCAAGGAGGGAGCGCTCTCTTGAGTGCGCCCTCTTTAGACGAGCCAGTGATCAACTGAAACCGTCGGCCCGTGCTGTGGGCCCCTAGTGACGAGCACAGCATCCGACTGGCAGACGAACCACAAACGGCGCAAGAATGAGTAGCATATCAAAGATGAGGGGCGGAAGATATTCTTCCACCAGCTTGAGAACCTAGGCGGGCACTCTGACAAGCCATGCTCCCTGGCTGCTTAAGTGTGGCCTTGACAAGAATGATATTCTGTCAGACATGGGGCTCAAGAGGACTAAGTACTCTATCTGATCAGCTTGCCTCAGCGGCCTCCTGCTGGCAGCTGCACGATGCACATCGCTTTGGCATCATGCCGAGCCACTGCTTGGTAGTGCGACTCCGAGCCAAGCCGGTGGTGTATAATTAGCGAGGAGCTGCTGCGAGACGGGACCTCCTCAATCCTTGCATCCGCAAAACGCCAAACACATGCAAGATCCAAATATGAGATCCAGTGATCCACCCCTTCGGTACCCAAGAAACTTCCCGGGAGCACCTTGAGGCTTCGAGACCTTCGTGAGTCCAAAGTGTGCGCCATACTGTGGCAGGAGCACTGTTGGCACGCCGGAACACGAGTCCCGCCTGAAAATGCACGTGAGGCAGTAGGCGCAAGCGGCATGCACAGGACCGTGGCGGGAACACGATTTGCACGAACATGGGTGCAGTACTGTGGTGAGAGCCACGAAATTCAAACCCTGCCTTGTCTCCTGCATTGCTGATCGAGGCGCTAGGGCAGCGCTGAAACAGGGCATTTCAGTAAAATTCATCGTGGTCTGCATGGCGGAACGCTGAGACCACGCCAAGGATCTCGAGGACATGTACGATTCCCACCCGAACAAAACACGGCACTGTGGCGTGAGTGTGGTTTATCAAGTGGGGAAGCACCGAAGTAGTGGATTTTGCGATGACTCCAGCACAGTTCTGCTTTCCATCGAAAATGTGCACGGCACCAGAGCTCAAGCTTCGGGACCCCCGTGCTCGCCGGGGGCGTCTCATGCCGACAACAGCCCCAGAGGCCCTGATCCTTCTACCCTGGACGTCAGCCGCAGTGTCATCACACAGTCTCGGAAAGACGAACTGGCAAGCTGCAAATGGCCGCCCAGGCTCATGAAGGAGAGGTCGGGCGGGGCCCCGAGCACTGAAGGTTCGAGGTCGTAGACCGGCTCTTCAGGACCCTCATCCTCCGCTGAGATCTCCCTCGGCTCCGACGTGAGTCTGCCGCATGTACGTATCACGACGCATCACGATGATCGGCGTCTCTCTGCGCCGTGTGCTTTGCAGCACTGCTTTTTGCGCTGCTATGAACTGCCAAGTGGCTCCTGTGCACGGACAAGCACATGTCCTCAGTTGTGCCCTGTTGTTTGTGTCACATGCTGCGCCCGGACAGTAGCTTGAGACGAGCAGAAAGGTAAGTAACAAAAAGTCTGCGATCAGCGGAAGACAGACCGGCAAAGGCAAGGAGCGGCTTCTTCACAGGCAAGGCAGCTAGGAAGGCTCATACGGCAATCCTAACTCAAGGGTTTGCCAAGGTTCTGAGTCGCCTCTTTTTGGAGGCTCGCGGGCCTCGAGCCCAGCACAGAGAGCTGGCAGTGAAGGCCGCCGCAAGCTCGAGCCGCGACCTGCCGCGACAACCCTCCAAGGTGCCGGCACCGACAAGGGAAAGGGGTCAGTGGAGGCCATCGAATCGATCGGAGCGAAGGCAGTCGCTACTCCATGTAGCAGTCGTATCACACGCGAGAGAGACAGAGAGGAAAAGGAAGGGACGAAGAGTGGCACAGCGAGATGGAGGAATCCAATCTTGTCAACCACGTGTTTTCTGAGCATCTCAACACACATTTCCGATGGCAATAGGCAAGTTCAGGCCTTGGAGTGCCCCACGTCCGCCTGGACGAGCTGGAGGAGCAAATGGATCTGATTCTGCCTATTCTCAGGTTCCTCCTGCATGGAGCGAAAAGGCAAAGACATTTCTTGGTAGTGGAAGACCTCGTGAAATGCTAATCATCCACATGATTGTATGCACTTTGAGGTGCTGGGGAAGCCCCGGGATGGACAATGCTACCTGGAGCCCCAGATGAAGAGGGCTTTCATCCCCGCAGACATGTTCAATTTCGCTTTTCGAGAAACACCAAAGTAAGAGTTTTATCAGCAGGCAGCATGCCCATGGCTGATCCCTCTTCTCTCAAGCAGACGACTGATTTCAAATTGCAGAATTCATCTGCGCCTGTAGCCTGCACGGGCACAGGAAAAAAAACACAAACATCCGCGACATGCAGTTGATGACGACTCCGCCAGTCAATTCTTCTGCAAAGATTTGGCATGCCTTTATCTACGCTAATTATTAAGCGCCACAATGCGAAGGCAGCCCCGTGTGACATTATGCACCGTGAAACATGGTTTGGAGGCAAGCCGGCAAGCACTGCTGTGTTTTTGTGAGCCAGGAGAAACGTGTTTCGGGACAGATCATCCCAAATCTGGTGTCGAGTGTGAGCTCCTGGCAGGAAGGGGTTGCCAGGTCGGTTCCAGACCATGGCGGGTAGGGCTCGCAGCCACCAAGGCCATACTGGGCTCAGCAAGAGCTCCAAACGCTGCGGCATGGACGAAAAAAACACGACTTACAAAGACTTCCAATGCAAAGTCTTCACACAGCACCAAGCGACCTTCTGTCCTTGGGTGCGGGCCCCAAACCCAGAGCTCGGTGTCATCTGGATTGTTCCTCAGCACAGCACATCCCAATTTCCTGGCGAGATTTGGGTGGCCAGCTTCTCGGCGCTTTGTCACAGGCCTACTGCACTTCATGGTACTTCAACAGCTCTGAGGGGCCGCGCTGCCGATAGGTCGCTACAAGAGTGTGCTGCTCACAAGTGGCAAGCCTCCCAAGATCACGACGCCGAGACTGAGACTGAGGCTTATCTTGCTAACTAGGTTGAGACAACTGCATAAACCTGGAACTGGCACATCATGTGGACACAGAACTAGCGGTAGCCTCTGTTGAACAGCTTACAGCACAGATCTGATCGAGTCGAGAACTGCATCAGTTCATGGACTTGCCAGTGCGCAGACGAAAGGGGCGAGCGTTCAAAAGATGTGGTAGCACTCGGGTTCAGAGTACAGCAGGCTTCAAGGCTTCCAAAAACGTCCGTTCACCAGGGCTCTTGACCAGCTAGTCAGATTCTTGGACACGCCCCTGTAAGGGCAGCATAACAGATGCCAGCAGCGAAACCGGCTTCTTGGCTCTTCCGAAGCTCTTGGAACTAGCTGAGGCCCCCGCGAGCGAACACACCGGACTTCCCCCTCGTGCTGGAACGGCTCGAAAAGAGCCGGCGACAGCCTCAAGAGAGGGTGCAAAACAGAGTCCAAGCATTGGGTTGCAATTCCCCGACCGGCCATCCCTGTAACCGAGCCCCGAGCACGTGGTTCTGTGCATCTCTGCACAGAGACGAATCCCTTCCGCAGACCTTGGACACTTCAAGAAACTGTGCAATTCCAGCTGCGCATGGCTGCTCGATGCTGGGGCGGAGACCCAGAGATGATCCTTCGAGTCTACGATGCACGTGTGGTACCTCGTTCTGCAAAACATAGCGCAGCTGAACCTCTATAAATTCCTAGGCTTGTCAGAACCTGAGCACGATATGCAGGGTAGAATTTTTTGCCTCCTACTTAGCAGGGACGAGCCAGCATTGCAGGGTAATGTCTTCGGTAGGATTGGCAAGCAAGATGCAAGCGCAAACCTGTCGCCTGCAGCTCCGAGGGCGCATAGCGCAGTGAACTTCCTTCACGTGCGTCGACATTGGCACCTCTGAACGACAAAGTGGGTGTCAAACGGTGTCAAGATGCACGGGCCGCAGAACAACCAGCGGTGCTTGTCCCTGCTGTCTTGTTCTGCTGTTCTTGCACCTGCGGCTGCCGTTCTGTCGTCTGTCACTTGTTCACCAGCGCAAGGAGCGTCCTGTTCTTCTCAAGCATGCTGCAAGTGTTTGCTTGAAGTTGTTGTAATCGCTTGACTAAATCTAAAGCAATGACAATGTCGGCCCGTTGGTCCCGGAGCCGTGGAACTGTAGCAAAAATGAGTTTGGAGGGTCAACCGAGGCCATCGCTTCTTCTGTAAACATACCATGCCCATAAAGGCAACCAAGAGGTGGCATCTTCCAACTTTCTGTTCAAGGTACAACGGACAAATGCAGTTCTCGCCTGTTGTACTGGGACCCCTGCAAGCGCTGGAACATACTCATTCTTCATGTCCTGGCACAGGGAATGTGCCGCCCCGACACGAACGGAACCATACAGAAGTGCAAAGTCTTTGAAATCTGGACTCTGGTCAGTTTGAAGGCGTTTGCCAGGCCATGAACTTCGATGTTCATTGCCCATGCACTCTCGATGCTCTGACTCGAGGCTCCGACTCCATGTCCCAGTCGTCCGAACCAGCCGGTACCGAAGGTGAGAAGCTTGCCGTCCTGCATCAAGTGGCTGGGGTTGAAGAAGCGAGGCCGATGTCGCCTTCCTGCTGCCGCTCGGCACCTACCCTAAACATATTACATCGCCAGCGGGGGCGCCTGTGTCACCAGAGCGGAGTGCTGCGACCTGGAGCCACGAAAAATCCAGTGAGTTGCATGGCTTGCGATTCCTGGCCCTTCGCTCCCCGGCACACAGTGCAAGCCTGCGCTTCTGCATTCCTCCTTCAATAACACAGCTTGATTCAGTTTCCGGGGCTGCGGCCCACAATTCACACCACGAAGAAGACGTAGCTGGCGTGGCAGCAAAACTTTCGGAACAGGGCCAAGCCCAGCAGAAAAGACTCAGGCGGTGCGGGAGAAGCAGGTGATAGCAGGTGCCAGCACCACGGAGGCAGAAACCCCCTTTTCCGGGAGATACGTTGACATTCGGGGCAGGACTTCAGACACCCCACTTTTCCTGTTACCGAGTACATGAGATATCTGGGATTGCCGGCTGATCCGAGCAGGGCGAGCTTGGCCTCAAGACGGTGTTTTCTTTTCGTGCGACTGCCTTTCGCGATGGTTTGCCCCTGTGCTGCATCCGGTGCAACAAGCCCATGTCGCAGTTTCGGTATGTTTCGGTATGACTCCAGATGTCAACTTTGAGCAAAACAACTGCGTGCTGGCACTAGCCGACCAATCCATACCGGACGACATCAATGCTTCAGGAATCTCAGAGAAGTAGCTCGGGCGGATGCCATCAAATTGCCTGCGACAGCCCCACCGAAGCTTTGACCCAAGAGCACTGCCAGTCAAGCTGGGGTCTGAGAAGGCATGCCACGGCCCTTGGCCCAAGCTTTGGAGGTACTGTACAGGCAGCTAGTTGCAACATCTCCGATAGGAGCGGCCCCCGCTTCATGGATTGAGCGAATCACCCAATGCCGCATTTCTGCCTTACTTTCTTTCGACTCTGCTGAATCACTCACCGACTTTCAACTCCACCCAGGTGCAGGGCACCAGCTCAACAGCCTGCTGCATGCACATCGTCTTGCCCCTTTAGGGCACTACATGCATGCGCAAGCCTGCGAAGTGCATTAAGCTGAAATCTGGCATCTTCTGCAGAACTTTCTTGGCCACCGTTCTTTAGCTTTGCTGTTGCAAAAACACACGGATTTAGGCCCCCCCCCCGTTCTTGCATCCTGCATTCCGTGTCCGAACTGCTTGAAGACTACCAGGATGCCGGCTTCTCAAATCAAGGCCCACCGGTCTCTTCGATCGCTTCACGTGGTCACATGGTAAAGGTCGGAACGGGCACTTTCGAGAAACCACGCATTTATAATCGCATAAACCAAGGTAGCACATCCTCTTCGAGGAATCGGCTTTCAGCAGTCTGCGGCAATACACTTTCAGAATATCGGCTTGCTGCAAGTCTGAAGCAGCATCGCCGTCTCTGAACCCCTCGTCATCCCTCGTCTATGCCTATGCCCCCACATGCCAATCCAAATGTTACAGTCTTGACTGTCTTGACTGCGTAAAGATCTCAATTAGCTGCTAATTAATTAGCTCAGACATGCTCAGACATTACATGCCATAACGCCGCAAGCTGACCTTTGCGGAACTTGGGTCCAAGAAGCCCAAGGCAGGCATGAGAACCAAACCTTCCTGAATCTACAGCTGCACGAGAGGCGAGGCAGTGCTTTCGCGAGGCCGTCCTGCAATCGTGGCTTCTCGGCTGGAGCTTGGCTGAGGCAGCATGACTCTGATAATCAATCGCTTGCAGACTGGAAAATCGCGGCTGCCCTTGGAGTTCCTAAAAGAATAGTAGAAGCTGCTCATGTGAGGTTAGAGGCCGCATGCGAGTGTACGCGCTAGGAAGTGAACGATCCGTGCCTCAGCAGTGCCACAAGCAAGTCCCACGCCCCACGCATTGCTGCCAACCAATCATGGCACCCAAGCCTTGTTGCTATGCTGCACCCTCAGCCGATATCATACCGCATGCGCAGTCCTTGCTTCCTTCTGGGCTGACATCCCACAGCCCACCCTCGAGTTGGGCGAATGCGTACCGGCACATGCTGCTCGATCAGGTCTCCTGCAGTGAGGTGCAGACAGGAAGAACGTGAGGCCCTCCCTGGTACAAAGACTGGATCCATGCAGAAGGGTTTTTCAGGGCAGGTGCCGCCCAAGATCCTGATGGAGATTTTCCCCTGCGGTCGCTTGGGCCGGAGGCGCGCTTGATTCCTTCTTGGCCTCAGCTTCGTTGCATAGCATGCAAAGCCCACGGAAGTCGAATGAAGCTGCAAAAAAGCATGTCCCGATCATGCCACTCCTTGCCCAAACATCCCCTCATCCTATGTATGACGTTGCCCTGCCTTCGTTTTGACGACCGCTGTTGTGCGTGGCGCATCCTGCAGTCACGCCCTTGTCACTCGACACGATTTCGCCTTCGCCAAGCTGGCAAACTCTGGGCCGGAGGCCTTTTTCTTGACATCGCTCTGCGCCAGGTCCTGCAGACACAGCAGCAATAAGCTCCGGCGCCGGGATCTACTCCACTCTTCACTCTCCGAGAGGGCGCTCGGCCGGCTCGGCTCCTTGAGGTTCCCGGCCAGCTCAGTCATGCACGCGAGCAGCTCCCCCATCCTCCCCTCGATGCGCCCGAGCGCATCGATGCAGTTCGCATCCTCCGCGGTAGGAGCCGCTCCGGTCCCAGTCAGATGCTCGAAACATGCACATGGCGCGTCAGAGGCCTGCAGAGCTGTCGGGCTTGCAGCAGTCTTTGGACCCTGGTCCTGTGCTCCCAAGACACAGGACTCATAGGTTCGTGCCGAAGGGTCGTCAAGTCTTGAATCCTTGACCTCTTCCTTCTTCTCCTTTTGAACTGTCGCGCTCTCTGCTGGCAAGCCCACGAGCTGAGCCTGAATTGCCATGTCACGAACTGCCAATTCACCCTGTTGCATGGTTTCGCTTGCGTTTGACCATGCATGGACAGTCGCCGCACTTAGGGCTTCGGAGTCTATTTTTCCCACCTGGCCTTGGGACCGCCAGCCTTCGTCTCAATCTGCACAGCCGACGGGCTCAAGCCCTGCTTTTCGTTGCCATCTTGAAGAAGACCTTAGAACTTACAAATGCAATGTTGGGAACCATGCCGAAAACGCCTTATTCAAGATGTCGAGGTGCCCTGACACCATTTCGCCAACTTCTCTCCGCCTTCAAAGTCCTCGGATGCAGCTAGCTGCCCTCGCCTGCTCATGGTTATGCCTGGCGAGCTGCGCCAGCGCTACAGCTGCGAGAAGCAAGCGCATATGCTCCAGGCCCCGAAAATTGCACGTCGATTGCAGCTGAAGGGGCTTCCGGTTTTTTCCAGTTTCCTGGGCAGGCCAGTATGTTACAAACTTGCTGAATGCCAGCCATTTACCTTGAAGTCAGCCTCGTGCTATCACAAGTACGCCTCTTAATCGAAAAGCCACACACCAGCATCCAAGCTGCTCGGGCCATACGCTGCTGCTTCCTCTTCAGGCAGCTGCCTGCGACGAGTGCGGTGTGAGTGTGCAAACTTGGCCTGCTGGCGGAAAAACACTGGTGCATGCAGCATGTCGACGCTCTGCGGCGCACTGGAAAGCCAGCGATCTGCGGCTTCGCCGTTGCGAGGGCAGCATGCTGGCAAACCAGGATGTCCTCCGTGATTCTGCACAGGAGCACATCTGAGCACTGCACGAGACGCAAGTCCTACCTAGCTAGCTCCTGCAAGCCTCCCATATCGGACACTCCCGAACTGGTTGCTGTCCAGACACTTTTCCTTGCGCTCTGATTTTTGATCCTGGCAGGGGTGTCGGATCTGACCAGGGCTGAAGAAGTCACCTCGGCGGCGCAGTTGCAATGCCCCCAGACCCCATGTGCAAAGATGGCACAACACTGTGCTGCAGTGCAACTTCTTCTTCTTCGGGGTCATGGCCCAAAGAATCGAGAGTAACAGAGACACCGTTCCAGAAAGCGAGCATCAAGTCAGTGCGCCAGTCTGGGCTGTTTTTTTGGGTGCTTGTGTGGATATGTTGCATCCTGCGCGATGTACACGAACTCCCCCATACTCCACAGGACTGACACGAGAGTGAAGCATGCGCCGAAAGCTTGGGAGCTGGCAGCTGGACGGAATGTTGGACTCGGGACTTGATCTACCTACCGCTTTGCGCATTCAAGGTCGCCGGTGCGAGGCCTCAGAGTGCCGAGATGCTCGGATTGGGGAACGACCTGAAACGTGGTTATCTTCCGGCCTCGGCACCTCTATAAAGCCGTGGCATGGTGCAGGCATGTGTTCGGGGGACTGTCGGAAGATTCCCCTCAGTTGGCAAGACAGACTGTGGCTGTCGACACAACACCGTTGAGAACGAGTCAAGGGGCACAGGAGGCTCCATGAAGTGTTTGGCTTGTGGATGCAGCATGCACGACAGAGGTTTGCTTCAACACGGCCCCACACAAGTAGGGGGGGGGCGCCTGGAGTACTGGGCCGAGGGTCGCTCCCTGTCTTTAACACTTGCGAAAGAAAGCGAAAGAAACCGCACCAGTCATTCTTAAGCCTGCGGAAAGAAAGGGACAGAGCAAGCAAGAGAGAGAGAGAGAGAAAACAAACGCGACCTTCCAGGAACTGGTTTTCGGACATGTTTGCGTGCAAGAAAACCCACTACCTTCCGTGCCTCTGCCGCACAAAACACAGACAACAACGGAAAATACTGGCATCGCGGGTCCGCGTGCCTGAGCAGTGCTGCAGACGTGTGCTGGTACTACGGTAAGGCTTCCAAATTGTGTCCCTGTAGCTAACACCATACCTTTGGAAGCCAGACCTGCCATGCGCTGTCGGGGACTGCGCTTAGTCTCCTGCAGTTGCTGTGTAGGCTGAAAGGTGTTCAAGGATTGGAGGAAGAGAATATTCCTCCTGGTTCTAGGCGGTGTTCTGCGACTTCCTCTCTCCCTGTGTCACAGTGCTGGCTGGTCGGGGTGCGGGGCTCTTTCTCTTGCTTGCTTGCTGCATGTCAAAGAGCCCTAGTCCCTCCGCCCGAAGAGGACCTGTACGTCCTGCGTCCAGCGCTCCACTCCGCGTGAGACTTGCGCGCCGCTTTAGCATACACAGTTGACGCCAACCAAACCAAACTTTGCTCAGCACTGCCCCTACCTACCTGCCTTACCTTTCCCCCCGCCCTGAAGCCTTGCACACAGACTGCGGGTTCTCTCTCCCTCTCTCTGTGACATTCCCGTCGAAGTGTACGGCGCAAGCAGTCAGAGGTGTCAGAAGTTCCGACAAGCGGCAGGCTCCCAGACTTTCAGCAGCTGCACCAGGGCAGGTTTGGTTGCGCGAGAAAGTCTGTAGCGCCACCTAGGCAAAAAGCAAGGCTGACCGTCTTCGATTAGCTGATGAGCTGATTAGCTACCGCCGGCGGGGTACGTACAATTTCCTGCTTGTTACAACTTCAAAACCAAGGCACGACATTGTCGTAAATATGTCGCATGAAGTCCTGGGCGAGGATTCAGCTTGGGGAAGCAAAAGTTGTTTAAAGTTCGTGCTCGGGCGAAGCCACAAGAGCCACCCGTAGCTGGCTTAACCTGCATCACCAAGGCTCGGCAATAGGAAAGTCGAGGTCGTCCTGTGCAAGCACCCGCTAGTAAGGCCAGCTTCTTTCCTCCTCAGACCTTGGGCACCTGCTGGCATTGACCTGAATATCCTTGCACGCCCTGCTGGCCTTGCCAAAAGGATCTGCCAGTTCTCCTGACAGCAGCTGCAATTTGCCGCCTGTGTGCTTACCGTCATTACCTGGCGCACCTGAAAGCTGGCGGAGAGCCAGCAGAACGAAGGTTACCACTGAATACCTGCTCAGCACGTGAGGCCCCGTCGGCTCAAGGCAAAATTAGAATTAGGCTCGTCCAAGCGGCGGGAGGAAAGCCAGGCAGTAGGAAGGTGCGTCGTGTGCCTCTACGAGGATCAAGCATCCGATGCCTGTTCAGGGAACTCAAAGCTCTTACATGAATCTGCTGCTGCGTCAGGCTGTCAGGAGCCATCAATTGCAACCATGCTCGCAAGGTATAACCTTGAGGCCGTATGCTTGGCGGAGCACAAAACCAAGGCCCTCAACTGGACTTTGCGGTACTGTGCATTTCCCTCCCAGCGCAGCAGACCCAACCCTGACCCTGACGGCCGGATGCCTGTAGCAAAGACGGTTAAGTTGATCAGAATGTTGAGGAGATGGAAATACGAGAACGGGACCGGCATGTTCTGTATACTCCTGCACGTTACCAGCATGGTCAGCGAAGTCGGTGATCCTCTTCACAAGCTGAGATGTCCTGACCCGAAGAGCCGAAGAAGCCATGTTGTCGATCATGTTGTACATACCTGTAGGCGGAGTGTCTTTCTCACCAGAAGTCCAAATCGAGACGCCCCATTTCACCGGTCTTCTGCCAGGCGACGATTCGACAGGGCCGACAGCTCTGGGGGAGTGTAGGTCTTCGCCCCCGCGTTGGGCTGGCAGACACGATTGAGAAGAGGCGCAGACATACAAAGACTTGGATAAACGAACAGTTGTCTTCATATCTTGTTGCCATTTTCCTCTTACCTGCCAACAGCAACAACAAGTACACTAGAAGTAATGCTAGACAGTGTCAGTATGCGAAATTTGTCGGAGTACCTGAGGAGTATGTCTCCTGCTTGGCGTCCAAGCGGCCCTAAGGATCCTTACCGCGTCCTTGACGATGTAGCTGGACCAATGGAGCAGAAGCGTAAACATCGTCCCAGGATACTCGCGAACAGCGTCCTGTGCGAGCTGTGGATTTATGGACAAAACCTGCACAAAAGACTTGAACGGCCGGTGGCCATGTCCTCGTCGGCCTGCGTCAGCAAGCCTTTTGATTGGAGTACTCGCCAGGTGTCTGTCCTTGTCTTACCGAGTTTGCTGTGAAGGAAACTTGTCAGACCTTTTTGCGGCCCAAGGACATGGGCTCAACGTCCTCCATGGACAAGTAGAAATAGAAGATCCCAGCCATGGCATACCTGAGAACTGAGAACTGAAGCTCCATGCTCCAAGACCTTTGTCCAAACACCGCCTCCTAGCTGGAATGGACGCAAGCATTCCCTAGCTCTCAATCAACCCGTTTGTTGCGTGGTGTCGTTTTGGAGACCAAGGTGCTTGCTTGCTTGCACAATGTGGTTTGCAAGCTGTGGCTCGTCACCGAAGTGGATCACCAGCTCTGACACAAATTGCTTGGCACTCACATCGATCTCCTCAGGTCATGAAACTCGGTACCCAAGGATTCCATCTACAGTATGCTCGGCGAAGATCACGGCCCCACACTGCATCATGCTGCTACCTTCCAGCACAGCCGAATGCACAGGCGATTGCATGCTCGGTGGCGCACCACGCATGTCTGGTACAAACCTCGGATACATGAGCTTCTCCAGCACAGTTTTGGAACGATGCTGCACATCTGGACAAAGCCACAGAGAATGGTCGTAGCAGCTTTCTACTGTTTTCTGGAGGTCCGATTGTACACCGAACCTGATGCAATGCATCATGATGAACAATAGGCAAGGTGGGCAACATGTGTGAACATGCAGGTTTCCTGTCGAAACCTTGCCGACATCTCAAGAAAGAAACCGACGCCTGCCATGCGAGCTCAATACCACCGCATGCGTTACACGGATTATGCTACCAGACTGGTTTGATGACTGACTGTGTCCTGAGCATCATGGTCCAACCCAGTCTCTTCAACTGCCGCATGACCTCATCCCCCCTGCAGGGTCTCAGACGTGCATGCTGGACTTATGCTAGGCGCCCTTAGCCGGAAGGCAACATAGCCGCCTTTGACCATCATGCATTTTCTTCGAGCAAGGGAATACCTCCAGATCATGTCGGGGCCCACTGCACACACCCTTAAATTCGTGAGACAAATAGTCGGAAGATTGCAGACTGCGTCCCAGAGCTAGAGGCACCCCCCGGCCCCCGCCCCACCCGCCCCACCATGCCAGCCTGGCAAACACTTTAGTGGTACACACTAGTCAACAGGGGTAAATTGGATAGGTGTCAGTCAGCGCAGGTGATTCGTTGACAGTGCATGCCAAAGCTTTCGCGGTGCAAGGGCTGAGAATGTTACGCCGGGCAGGCCTGTCAGAAAACCGTCAAGAAACAGCAGACTTCTTGAGCCTTCAAAGCGACGCAAAGCAATAAGAGTAAAGGGGCATCCGAACTTTGAATCGAATGCCAAGACACTCATGTACCGCGAATAGCACTGGTTGTTGTAGAAGACTACTGCCTCAAGCAATCGACTCTTCTTCTTCTCATTCGCATCTGAAGCTCAGAGCACCTGTGATGTCCCGTCTTTACGGCTCACAGCATGATAGCTCGGAGGAATTTCAGAGACCAGGTGCGAAGATGGTAATTGACAGCTGAGGGCTGAGGAGCTTGAAGACGTCGAGGCCAGCTACGCCTGTGGAGAAGCTAGCAACTAACTAGCAGCGTAGCGGCTGCTGGGCTGGTCATTGGTACGCAGAAAGCCGGCCGAATAAGCATGCATGGCCGAAAGCGGTCCTGCAGGCAAGTGGACGTAGCCCGTGTCCATAAGAAACATGACCTGCACAGTCCCGCCACATGCGCCCGTGACAGAAGTACACATCTGGACTGAAGCCGGGAGCCGAACCCCCCCAGCTGAAATCAAGTATAGCCAGAACTCGGCCATGCCGAAGACGCTCGACCTAAGCACATCCTTGCTGGAGATTGCAGGTAGACAAGCCTCGCCCCACACATCAAGTCGAGTCACGTCAAGGTATAGTGCCATCGCAGCAGTGAGCGCAAGGCGGATTCATGCGGGTAGTAGTATCTCGGAGCAGCAAGGCTGATTCTACACGCCTGTGTCCCCTGCATAGCCAATGACCGATGACGGCTAGCTGCAGCAAGCTTCGCTCCATGAAGCCACTCAAGCAAATCTGGCATGTTGCACCTACGGCTTCTTGCAACTCATGCTGCCTCACCATTTTTGCCGTCTGCCCCAACACAACCTTGCAGATGGAGTTCAAGGATTCCGGCTTCGTGAGATTGTGAGCCGCTCTCGGGACTTGGACTTCGTTTCACTGTGTGCTGAGCCTTCGGAAGCACCAACATGGCATATGGGCTGACACCATCGGTATACAGTCTGCCAGAAAACGGCACGCAGAAAGTACGCGTGCACCGGCGTTCGCGAATGAAGCCCCTGACATCCCCTGACCACCCCTGGACCCGTCCAACAGTCGCGCGCCTCGAGTTAGAGCTCAGGCGGCAGAATGGGAGGCAAGCATCTTGCCGGCTGCCAGCCGAGCCATATCGGCTGCAGCGAAACGAAACAAAAAAAGCTTGAAAGGAATCTTTCACCACGACCTGTGGCCTAACCAGTGCCTGTGACTGTGGGGGCGTGCAAAAGCACCCTTCTTCTTCGGTTACTAGCCTTGGCACACTTAACAAATGCCGGAGAGGATCACTTTTCGAACATTGTTCTACCTTCGGCCAGCCACCAATCCAACCAATAGAGTTGAATTTACTGAAGAGACCAAGCATTTCAAGGGGTGCGGCTAATTGCTCCAAGAAAAGAAGACTGTGACAAGCATTCGGCAGGTTTGGAATCCCTCACCAAAAGCCGTGGAGTCTCAACCGGTGGCCAAGCCCACCTCTGTGGCTTCAATAACCACACGCTTCGGGATCAACTGCTCCTTGCTGCGTGAGCGTCGGCACAAGTCGGCACAAGGACATCAGATATACATCATGTGCTCAGTCTTGCCATCAGCGTACAGCCGCACAGCTGGGGAGTCGACGCCATCGCTCAGGCAGGAGCCCAGACCCAGTCGCCCGCCAGCGGCGTTGCCCCAGGTGAAGCAGGCCCCGCCTGTGCGGAACGAGCTGCTCCAAAAGTTGCCACCTTCGCAACGCGTGCTTCAGAAAGCTGGCTCTGCGCCTTCAATGAGGCAAGCAGAATGCTCCTCGAGAGGTCAGCACACAAAGCAAGCTCAAGCTTCAGACTGTCTAGCCAAATCCGCTCCTCCCCCGCTGCCACATGGAGAACGTCGGTTGGATTAGTGATGAACTGCGGCGTGTCGGCAGGCTGCGCAGGGTCGAAAACTGCTTCAGATGGGCAAGCCAGCTCGAGAACATGCTCTGCGCGGCTTGCACAAGCAGTCACACATTCACCGTAAACTCACAAAGTGATAGGCCTGCCTATGCCCGTGCATGAGTTTAGACTTTTTGGGCTGCAGGCTGTATCGTAACAGTGCTATTCATTCTGTCACTTCGCAACTGCTTCAAGGGAAGGGAGGGGCTGCACCATCATGGACCCGGTGCCCAGCTGCCCTTTGGAACCGTTGCCCCAGGAGTACATCCTCAGCAAGTCAAGCAGTCATCAGCCGGAATCCGAGAAGGGGCCGAAGGGGCCTGGCAAGGCAAAGCCCGATTCCACCAGCTCCGGTAAGGCACTGCGCCCCCAGGCCCAAGGCCCCAAGTTACATCGCTTCTGAGACCCAGGCAAGGAGTCCGCAGTCACGATGAGGCAGTGCTCATAGCCCATGGCCACACTTCGGACCTCAAAGAATCAATCAAAACAAGGGACTGATCGGCCTGCGGTTGCTAAGGCGGCCACGGTCCGATTGCGGACTCCAGTCTTTAGAGGCACTGCGAGCCAGCCTCAATGAAGCTTTTGACTCTCCGTGTCTAGATCGACGCATCCCCCTGTCAAGCCTGTGAAATCTGCAACAACAGCCGTCATATCTGCCAACTTCCGCTGATCAGCTGAGCATGGCGCAGTTCCCACCTTTGTCTACCGTCTGCACTGTCCCATCATCTTCCATCATGATCTCCTGCCCAGATCGACAGGTTGAATCAAGAGATTGCTTTCCACTGTAGTTGAAATCGCAGCCACCATTCCGAAGCAACAGCCTAGACTGTACCATATGCCACACGCGAGAACCATGTATCCAACAACTTGAACATAATCCACACCTGCAAGCGGACCACCCCCAAAATACCAACGATGCTATAGCTGCTGCCGGCCAGTTATTCTTGCTTTATCGCTCATCCCGTTACTTTGGTGTCTAGTCTAGCCCGACACGATAGATCCGATAGATATACTGTCGCACTGGCAATTGTTATCTGCTTTTCAATTTGACACTGACTCGAATTGCTGCCGACTGCTGTGTCCAGCTCGGTTCGATCACCCACAGATGCGATCCTCGGCTCCGACACGGCTTAAGCAGGTGGGGACAAAGGATAAGGACATCCGTAACACGGATCCATCTACGCAGCGTCTACGCTCTGCGTGTGTGCGTGTGTCCATCTTAACTGCAGAGCCAGGCATCTCCTGGCTGCCCCAAAGCCACAAGTTCTCGTAGGGCATGCCACCCGGAGGAACCTCTCCGGTTCCTGGACACAGGGATCTGATTCGGATCTGATCCATGTAAGTCGCAACCGACATTGCCTATGCCACCTACCGCAGCGCATAATGACTGTATTTGCATTTCCTGGTGCAGAAACTTTTGTACATTTGCATCTCTGTCCGTTGCGCTCCTGCTGAGATTTGCTGCGCATATCCAGCTGAGCGAAAACTCACGCATTGATCTCTGCCGTGTTCAGCTGAGAACCCCAGGCCCCTGCATCTACTCGCGCATCTACTCGCATGGTTGGAAGCTCCTCATCATGGCCCAAGGGATCTTGCCTCAAAGACTAACCTAGAGCCGCATGGCCTGCCCTTCGGGCAGGACATTGCGGTGTTGCACACCACCGAAAGAGGGTAGTGAAAATGATAGTGCAATCCTGCACGGCCGTGGCCAGTGCGAATGCTCTCAACATGTTGGATCATCTAGAAGCTTGCAGAAATTCACAGAACCATGTGCCTCAAGTTAAGAAATTCGGAGTCTGCAGCTCTTCGTCTGGCATAGACTGCCTATCGGCTCTCTTCATGAGGCACTTGGGACTGCGGAACAAAATCGAGTGAGTGGCCCGGCCAGTAGGCTTCCAAGCACGATAGCGATGCTCTACACTTTCTCTGCCTCCGTCTCCAGTTACAGATCCTTTATGGGGTGTTGAAAAGGAACTAGTACACCCAGCACACCATCCCTGAAACGCTTGTTACATGTCACCCTTCATTGCATGCGCTTGTGAAAATAGATCAACAGCGAGAAGACTCAAGCCTCGTATTCCTGCCATCCAGCCATTTGTCTCCTAGAGCCCGGACTGCACCGTCGCACTAGCACCCTTCACGGGCCAGTGCAGCAAAAAGTTGATCCCTCACTGGGTTTGGCGACCTTCGCATCTACACCTGCTCAGGTTCGGCACAGTTTGAAATCAGCAGCTCAAAACATCCACTGACCGCGAGCCTCCTTGGCCTCAGCGTCATGCATCCTCGACCGCTAGATCAAGGCCTTGGCTCAAGTTCACGTACTGCGGAGCATGAACCAGAAAATCCCGGGCCTGGGCAGCTTACCCACCACTTCATGCAGATAGTACAGGTTCGATTCGATAAGCAAAGTCAAAAACTCCCTTACGCGGCAGCCTGTGCGGCACTGCAGCAGGGGGGCCCGCCGCAGCGGCGATCGCTGGTGTACGAAAGTCTGCTGCGTTGAGGCGAGGCGGCAATGGCACCTGACTGACCACAGGCCTCGGGAAGTTGGCACAAGGAACAGAGTGCCGCCACGAGAATCAGCCCAGCTCACTTCTCGCAATGGATGATCTCTCCCCGCCACTATTGAACACCCCCTCCCCTATCAGGGGTGGTGGCTTCCAATCGTCCCATTGCTCTGCGCTTTATTCTAAGCCTGCCTTGGCAGGCCGCAGCCCCTGCTGGCTGCAACTCTTGCAGTCCTAACGTACCCTAAACTCCGAGAGGCAAGGGAACTCAACTTGCACGTTCCAGTACACGCTCACTCTTGCAACTGTAAGTTTCTATGCTGGGAGAATCCCTAAAGCGAAATTCTTCGAGAGAAAGCGAGAGCTTCGCAGACGAGACAAATCAGACGAGCACCACGATACACTGAGAAAGCCGATGTCACTTCCCCAGACACTGTCAAGTGAGGTATCAGCAAAAAGCCGGCAACAATAGCAACCGGTACTTATTGCCTCCTTGACAGCAGTCCCACTCACAGGCAACCGACGTAGACTCGCAAACCAGGCGCTGGTTCAGCCCGTGAGCGAAACCTGTGAAACCTCCTCAAGAGTACAAGAGCGCAAGGAAACTACTGGTAGGCCGCAGAAAGATGAGCGTGCAATATGTAAGGACTGCCCAGGCAGAGAGGACCAAAACTGATCCATCAGTATCGGTGTCTTGCTGAAAATCACACCAGCTGTAGTGAAGCCCAGAATTCCGGAATAGAATTGTGCAACATGCAAGTAACAAGATGAGAAGCATGCAGAATGCAAGGGCCCAGTCCACCGTTTGCGCTTCAGCTGTAAAGCATAAGCGTTTTGTTTTGAAGCCATGTAGTCACCAAGCAAAATGCGCGCAATGTCCAAGGCCAAGGAGAACTTCGTCTGTGGGACATGCGGACCAGTGTCACCAGCTTTCAGCAAGAACGCATGCAATCATATGCAGGGTCAATCATGCAAAACTTCAAGACCAAGAAAAACTAGAATCAGTGACTAGAATGATCCATTCAGAATGGCATTTGTATCCTGGAGGCAAACAGTGGTGAAATCAATGCCTGAGTTCCAGAATAGAACTGTGCATCATGCAAGTAACGAAAATCCAGACGCCTTACAGAAAGTGTAAGCAGCAGGCAGGATGCAAGGACCCAAGCAAACGTACCACAATGCACGCTTCAACTGTAAAGCGTGAGCCCCTTTCCCTCGAATATATGCAATCACCGAAGAATTGCATGCAATGTCCAAGGCAAGGGAGAACTTCGTCTGTCCCAGCCACTTCAGCAAGAATTCATGCAATCATGACCAAAAGCATGAGTCGCACCAGCTTGCCGGAGCCCATAACTTCGCAGCGTCCGCTACATGCATTTTAAAGTGATGAAGCAGTTAGTTATAGCTACGGGTCCCCAACCCTCTACGCCTGGGTGATCCCCAGTGTCCCTAACAGGCCTTTCGAAATCCTCCCGGCGTGCCTTCCGAGCCAAATGCTCCCCGAAAACACCGCGAAATTAGGGTGATTTCATATAAGAGGGAAGCGAATCAACACAAGAACAACATGGACAAACAAAGAGCAGTCGAGAGCGCCCAGCTCTTGATGTTGTCCTGTCAGATTGGCTTTCGTGGGACACTGATGACCATGACCTGCTGTATGTCTAGAATTCATGCCGCAGACAAGACACTTGGAGTTTGCCGACGAGCGCAAGGAAAACTCGCTGACTTCAGAACGGATCCCCCTGGGTGGCAACTGGCGTCGCACAGGGGGTTGCTCGCATCTGAGATTTTTAGGAGGGCTGTTGACACGGTGGAATATGGAATCATAGATGTAGCCTGTAGCCTACACGATTACACGATTCGCCAAGCCATGCCACACGCCAACTGAGTTCTGCTGGCATGCGCATCTCTTGCAGCCAATGCTGCGTTGAACTCGGGTAAGAGCTGTTAGCCGAACTTCTGCTGAGTCCTTGCAGGAGCCAACTGGAAGCAACCTTTGCTCTACCATCCAAGGTCTGCCCATTCAGCTAAGCATCCTGTTCCTTGCCTCTCCTCGGCACAGCTTCCCGAGCTAACTAACTACCAACTCATGTCGCAATCTTTGGCCACCATCCGTTGCAATCGCCGGCACAGTCTAAGTCGTTTTTCGACCGTCGTGCAACTTTCCCACTGGGTCACGAAACTGCAGACACCAACGGGCATTCTCGTCAAAGGCAGGCGTCCAGCTTCTTGGGCTTCGGTGCGGCCGCTCTTTCTGCTTTTTTCTGTGCCTTGTTCTTCTCGTTGGTTGCCTCAGCAGGAAAAGCCCAGCACCAGTTTCATCTCCTGGTCGCACTGGCCTCGTCATTTTGCCGGTACAGGCCATACCTGGAAAACGTGGCAGGGTGCATGTGTGAATACCGATGAAACCTACCGTGTGCATTCAGACCCTGATCCAACATTCTCCTCGAGTCATTCGCCGAGCCTCTCTCTCTCAAAGTCTTGACCTTCAAGGAGAGTGCATATTGCTCTATCCTGTCGAACAACATGTCCCCTTCCTGCCACTGTAGCTGCCCACACGATGCTCAACCAGCCCCTTCATCCGTGTAGGGTGTTTTGTGCGTATCTTTCTTGTTTTCTTGGGGCTTGAGGGGTTGCCCTCAGCGCTCTGTCCGGGCCCCACCACATTGTGCCGACGTAGTCTGTTGACTCCGCCACTTCGGGCCATGTGGAGCGTGTTATCTTCGTCTTCTCCTTGTTCTTCTTGTTTTTGTTCTTCTTAGCCTTCCTTTTTTTTTCTCGAAACTTTTCTTCCCATTGCGAGAACGAGAGCAGCCTTCTCGCCCTCCACATCCGAGCCCTTTTTCGGGCTGGCTGTTCGAACTGCAAGCAGATTAGCCTACGCCCCGGCTTGCAGGCGCGCCCAAGTCCTGCGTCCAGAGGACTGCGTCTCTCGGGCGTAACCTATACTCGCCTTTTCCCTCGCTCCCTCACGCTGTTTCATTCGTTCGGCTTTTTTTAGGGGTGTGGCTCGCTCTCTTGCCGCCTTGCTCTCTCTGCTCGAAGGAGGGGCCAACCTCGCCCCATCCCAACCAGCCAAGTACTTTGCCTTCTTATCTTGTCTCGAAACCATTCTTCCGGAGCAGGTGGTTTTGCTCTGATATGGTGCGAGTTCTTGGCTATTGCGCTGATGTCCTGGCATTAGACATCTCATTACCCCCAGCCCAACGGACCATCACGAACTTTCCGAAGAGGTACTCAACCCAGCAATGCACACAAAACCTGCGTTAGTCGGACGAAGCTGTGCAGCTGCGGCACAGAGCAAGGAGGGAGTTCTTTTGGTCGACATGCCTCAAGCGAGGGTAGTCATTTTGCCACCAATTCGGCCCCCAAGAGAAAGGGATCACATTTAAAAGAAGAGAGCCTGTGGCGTGACAAGGAGGTTGGAGAGAGCTAGGGGGACAGAGAAAGAGAGAGAGAGAGAGACCGGCAGGGAGGCTACCGCATTTTTCCAAGGTGCTGTCGTGACTGCTCCAGGAGCTTGCCGATGTCATTCCTGCTGTCTGCCACTTCCTGTTCTGCACCAGTGCTCGAAAGCGCGGGACAGATGGGACCGAAAGCTTGAGAGCAGAGCATAACTAACGCAACACAACCAGATCATTGCTTGTCTTGCGGCTACGACTGGCTGCTGCGACAGCGCACTGTCTAGGCAAACATCACTGCAACCGACGGGAGTCAGCATCCACGCACCCTCGTATGGCAGTTACTGCATCCCCAGCGGCACAAACAGTACCAGTCACAGTCTGGAAACTCCGAAT